TTTAAAACAAACGCAACACTACAAAAACTAATTACAAGCATACCAAGTCAAAGTCTTTCTACCCATTTCAACCCTAAGCAACACAGCCAATATGCATTAAATGGAAAATATGGTAGACAATCATCCCAGAAGGTGTTTGCGAAATAGATGTGTCTTTAAATCGGTTTTAAAGGACTCCAGTGTCTGATTGTTTCTGAGATCGACTGGAAGAGTGTTCCAATTTGTTGGACCAGGAAATGCGAAAGTGCGCTTTCCGTAGGTCTCAAGGCGGACTCGCGGTATCCAGAGTTTGCCACTATCGGATGAACGGAGTGATCTAGTGGGTTATACATAAGGAGTCATGAGCACTTTGAGATAGGATGGCGCAGGTCATGCAAGCAGCGGTACTATAGCATAGAGTTGCAATTTTGAACTCTATGCAAGCGTGGACCGACAGCCAATGCAGCTCTAGGAAAAGTGCCTTGAAAAGCATGTTAATGTGATTTTCCATAGTTAGTGTTCTGTCTAAGTAGACACCCAGGTTTCGCACTGTTTGAGCAAACTTAATCTGAGACACGTTAACCTGAGAGAGTATAGGGGATGGTGTGTTATTTACAGTTTTTGTATCTGGGCGGTAGCAATGGGGATCAGCTCGGTCTGTTCATCGTTCAATTTGAGCTTGTTTATGTTCATCCAGTGCTTAACTGGCTCCACTGTCTTCTGTGTCATACTAAGAAGCCGAGGGACCTGAGAAGGGATCACGGACTGCTGAAGTTGGGTATCATCCGTGAATATATGACATAGCATGTTAAACTGCTTGATCACTGCACATAGGAACTGAACGTACATAATGAAAAGCACCAGGCCCATAGGCCAGGGGGTACTCCGAACTCGATAATAGATTGCTTCGAGGTTAAATAGATACGAGTGTGCTTCTATCATAAACACGGAGTTTAGTAGTAGTGGGAGTGGGAGTGACTCGTGCGGTTTTGATGAACTTCCTTGGAATCACATTAACGCTGGCACCTAGGTAAATCTGACATACGGTCTTCTCCCCATTAATGATCATTTCAGCTTTTTTTTTTTACCTTATTATGTTGTTCACAGCAAGCACAGTTTCCTCATTTGAAGATACAGAGTAGTCATCTTCATTATCTTCATTCACCCATTGCAAATTCTTCTGGTTACATTTGCCGGCAAAATGATTTCTATGCTTACAGATTTTACATAGTTAACCACATCTAGGACACAATTCTGTACTGAAGACGTGTATCTGTCCACACAATTTAAATTTAGACTGTTAGTTTGAGCAGTGTTGATCTTCTGGTTTCTCCTGCCAGACAGTGCAGCATAGGTCTCCTCTGGACTACTTGCTACATCGTCTCCTTGACCAGACAGTGCAGCATAGGTCTCCTCTGGACTACTTGCTGCATCGTCTCCTTGACAAGTGTTCTCTTCTAAAAATTTATTGAAACACTAGCTGCCTTTGGGCTCCACTTATGTCTATAAACGTCACCAGAGTCAGTTTTGTTTCTTGCAATAATGCTCTTCTAGTTATATTGGCTTTTATGCCCACCGAAATTCCGACTCTCAGCAGAGAGTCTGCCATGTGGTCACACAAATTGCACGTTCTAGCTAAGGTGCGTAGGATTGCAATATAGTCCTCAAAAGTTTCATCCAGTTTCTGCTTCATATCATTAAAAACATACCTCTCAAATGTCTCATTTTGCCTTCCCACGAAATGATCATCAAATGCATTTAGGACGTCTGTACATTGTGTTTTTCTTTTAGAGGCTTTTGTAAACGGTCAGCCTCTCTGGTCCTAGGGTGTGTAGGAATAGACGCTTTATATATTCCTCATCCTCTGTATTGATATCTGCCACATTGCAATAGTTAATCTACATTTATTTGAAAAGTTTTCCCTCCTCACAATACTCACATCGTTTCTTGACATTTAAAGAAAGTGGAACCCTACCCCTAGCCCCTAGCCTTATTACAACTTCTCTCAGTCATAGTCTCAGTTGGCTGCCACCATGTTATATATAATTTAGTAATACTGTGTCTAACACAAGGAAAACTAACACGTACACCTCTGTGAAGCTTGATGTGTAGATTTATGACTAGTTACAGGTAAAACCAAATTATGGCCTCTTACATCTCAACTCATGAATCACGGGCCCTGCGGTACTGACAACAAAGGGATGCCACTGTGATAATACAACATTACAAAACAACAGGTATTACCGAATCATTGTTTTCTGTGCCCGTTGATGATTTTTTTTTAAAGGCAGACGTAACTGTAAAAAAATAGCATTTTTGCGTCCTACCATGTAATAGTTCACGATTGTCTAAGGCCTAGAGCCTAGACGTTAGTAAGACTACACTTCAAGCAAGACGCATTGTTTGTTGTGTTAAAAAAATAAGTATTTAAAATATTTAAAAAAAAATTAAAAATAATATTCAAACCTGTTTTTTCTCTGGCAGCACTGTAATTTACAGTAAGGGTTTTCTCGTAGCATGCTGCTGGACAATGCTGGTCTAACATTTTGATTTGATCGGGAAACACCAGGCCTTCAAAAGACTCCTACACACAACGTCGTTTTAAATTGGGGGGGGGGAGGGGGGGTTGCAGCTTAAAATAGTCAAAATGTCAACAAAGGACTGGAGCATAATGTAAATTCACAAACATCGCCCACATCAAATACGTCATTGGCAGCATCACCGGGAGCCAGGAGCTGTTTTCCCCTTAAACTATTTATAGTAAAAGGGGACAAAACTGTCCCTGCATAAACACGTTTGGAACAGTTTGGAACAGTTTGTCTTATTTTCCCTAAATTCAATAAATGTAACAAAAATCGACTGCATCTTGGAATCACTGCACGAATGTAATCTAATGCTTCAATTTGTACGTTCAATGCCAACATCCTCTTCTTCTGTGTCACATCTATGAAATAAGTCTTGTCAATGTTTGTTAGTCTGTTGAAATTTAAAATAATTATCTAGCTGAGGAAACTTCACACAAGAAGCAAATTATTTCTGTAAGTAGTGTAATAGTAAGACTAATATCCCCTGGGAAGGTATTTTACTCCATTAAAATTAGATGATAATGTTAATACCTTAGAGTTTTAAGTTCTGACGTGGTCAAATTATTTTTATAATAAATAAAATATAACTACACGGTAGCGCAAAAAATGTGGGACAGCCTGGTAAAATATTGTGCAACATATATGAAATTTGGTTTTGGTGGCTGTTTCAAAACTGGAACACTATCCTTAATTACTAACAACGCTAGACGTAGGCCGGTAGGCCCCCTACTTTAGGGTGACCAAAACGTCCCGTAAAAACGGGATTGTCCCGTTTTTTCACGATTATACCCGTTGTTCCGAAAAGTCTCTCGGGACGCCTAAATGTCATGTTTTTTTTTTTATAACCAAACACATTTCCTAATCACTAAAACTTCCTAATTTATAATATAACTTCAAATAATATTTTGGCTAGCTGTGTGGCCAGTGCCAGTAGGGATGTGGGCTCGCGTGATGGCTGCGCCGTTCCCTCTCCACCACAGTGTCCCTGCCATAGATTGTGTATGCGAAAGACACGAGACTTGAAGCCGCAAAAGGAGGGGGGGGGGGGGGGGGGGGAAGGATGTAACTGTGCAGAAAACAATTGTGATCCCTACCGGCCTGTTCGTGTCAAAGTGACAGGTGTTTGTTTTGGGTGTTGAACTTTATTATTTAATTTTATATTATCTTCTCATGTAAACACTAATTATACCCAAGCGTCAATGTAAGTTTATGGAGGAGTATTCCAAAGAGTGGAACTATATTAAAAAGGAACGCTAAGAAATTGAAGCCGAGTGCACAGTTTGCAATAATGTTTTTAGTATTGGTCATGGTGGACGTTCAGACATAAAACAACACATCACATCAGTGAAACATAGGAAAAGATTGAGTGCCCTAAGTAGATTTCTCGGTTAGATTTCATAGTTAAAATGAGAATATTTCAATAAACAGCTCCCAACCGAGGCCCCCGGACCCCTCTTTAACTGGAGAGTATTTCCCCCCTCCACCCCCACCAAAAAAAAAAAAAAAAAAAAAACCAAAAAAAAGCGTCCCGTTTTTTCCAAATCATGATGTGGTCACCCTACCCTACTTACTCCATTAAATTTCAGTTGCCATCTTTATATTTCATTTATTTTCAATCCAGTGTTTACTGTTTATTATAGGTACAATTACAATGATGAAAATAAAACCAGACGATCGTATTCTAATTTTGAGATTTGCTAAAGCAAAAACAACGGTGAGCTTGGCAAATGACGACGGTGCTTTCGATGAAGCATAGAGTAAAGCAAGACTCAATCGACTTGGACTTGGTGAAACAAATTTGATGCGAATGATACGAATGCGTGAATGATACGAATGCGTGAAACTGAAACCCAGGAAGTCGCCGCATGAAGCCTGTGTTAGAGCGTTTAGTGTGTTAGTGGGTCGATGTGCACTATTTGCAGCCATGGTGATGATCCTCAGATTCACATGAGTTCACAGGAACTGGAAGGAGACCATACAACATACTGTAAAGCAATATCTTCAGTTCAGTTTCTAATGTACACATGCGTAGGCTACTAGCAGTAGCAGTTGGGCAGGTTATAACTTGATATAAACCAAATGCAAATTAAAACTAAACGCCAGCAACGAATGAAACAATTCGATATTTTTTGGATAGAGGAGTGCACGAAGTATTTGGTTCACAGACGAAAGATGCTTAGGCTATTCTCGCCACGCCTGTTGTTATTCTCAAGATGATCAAGTTTTCTGAAGCATGAAAGTGAAAGAATAAGTTCCAGAAACGAGACTCACACGCAAACATGAACATTTCAATCATGACTTCAACTTCATGGTTGAGGGTCTGTATTTCTCTGATGGGGAAAAAAACCATTGACGTGTATGTAGAACATAGAGTGAAAGTGAACAGTGATCATTATTGTAAACAATTCACATACTAGGACAAGGATCGTCTTTGGACTCGAGTCAGATGTAATCATCCCAACTGGACACAGCTCCTTCACACACAGCAAGAAACTCGATCAACTTTGTTACTGGAGAGAATATAACCTTCATCAAACCTGACACGTGACCCCCAAATAATCAGGACTTAAACCTGCTAGACTATGCTCTTTGAGATGCCCTCCAACATTTTTTTACCATCGGGGAATATAATATGAAACAATATAAATTATAACAAATTAATCAGCCATTGTTCAGGGTCGCAACATTGTATCTGATGTTGATAAACAGCATAATTTCATTTATCAGTGGTGCAGCCGTTCAGAAAGAGAAAAAAAAAAAAAATTTGAGAACTGAAGAGTATGCACTGAATTTGGCTTATATAATAAATGAACTTTTAGCTTTAGAAACATTTAACTTTTTTAGAAGTTAGAAGGTGCCCCAAAATATTTGCATTTACACAAATGGTCCCACTTATGCACTCCTGTATAATACCACCCAGAATAAATACATGTAATCGGATAAATTATTCAATGGCATGTCTGGTGGGATATTTCAAAAAGTGTATTTGTTAGAATTTGACTTGACATGGAAACGTAAATTTGGCTAGGGCAACATGATTTGAAAAAGTTTAGTAACCACTGGTGTTGCCGAACAAACTACGTCAAACGAATGGAGAAATCTAGAATTAAGGCTAACGGTGGACGGAGTATTACTGTTTCCACTACTAGAGAGATATTCAGCGGTTCACTTGTGAAAACACAGAGCAACATTATGGCAATAATCACAAGAGTCTGCTTTTGTGTGTACAGCATTGGACATATAAATTCTGTGAATTAATGTACGTACACACTGTACTGCAAAATTTCCCACAAAATCTTCTCAGTGCGTATGTATGGGTGGCCCTAGCCCCACTGCCTTTGGATACAGCCCTTGATGATCTGTTCTTTATTCATTCCCTTTGACCAGTTTCACGTTCTTCTCTATAGCACCATCACAAAGGTCATCCATCATCCTAAGGAGCACTTATCCCAACTTTGGGAAATGCTGAGATACCCCATTGATGTATGTTTTTAATACAGTTTTGAAGATCAGTGGATCATGTGTCACTACCATACACTACACATCACACAATTATAAGTCACATTACAGGCAAAACTTAATAATTTTTTTAAAACATTTATTGCTCCACCAAATGATTTTCTAAACATTCTGTCATAAAAAATTATTAAAATTTAAAATAAAATAATTAAATTGTAATTGTAACCTAATATAATTATAATGCTCAATATGAGTAGCAGTAGTGGCACATGCTATTGAAGATCTCAGTACTGTCATATTGCAAGTCATCCTTACATTAACCAGAGCTCAAGGTAAATATCAACAATAGCAAGTATGACAAGAACTACACAATAATATGAAATTATAGTTAGTTATAACTGACTTTATCTGTCATTTGAAAACAGTTCCAGTGAGCACTGAGGGTTAATTGCAAACAAAATAAAGATATCCATTGACCGTGATCCCATTCATTATATGATCAGGCCATTAGTGAAGTAAGGCTCACCAATTTTTTTTTAAATTTGGAAATGTATAATGTTTGACAACAAGTCAATCAATACAATATCTCTTTGAATTGAAAGACTGACAATACATTGCTATGTATGACTATTAGTAGACTATCAAACTTCATGTGTGTTTGGATTGAAGTTATAATATTCAATAGCTGCAAAACACCTGATATGCTTTTTCCTTGAAGGCATTACTAACTCAGGCAGTAATGAATAGCTATAGAAGTAGTAGACCCTCAAGTATGTTGGATTGAAGTTACACACTACAAGCTGTAGTTCATTGGGTGGGTCATATCCTTGAAGAACTAAAGTTGCTCTCCAATCCTTGACTATGCAACTGAGAAGCTGCTATGTCTTCAAGGGCTTTTTGGATTTTTTTAAGCAGTTGTTCCCCCTTAGCAACGATGTCTTCCAGTTTTTCTGCTTCTTCTTGATTTTCTATCTCCAACCTCTGTAAACTGGCAACCTTTACAAAAAAAATTGAAAGAATTGTAATATTATTTCTAAACTCATACAAATTGACAAGAGTAAGACATCTCAACTGCCAATGAAATTAGGAGTAGGTATAAAATGTGAACCACATTCCTAGATTCATTTAGCTAGGTTTTCTAAGAATATTTAAATTTTAAAAATTAAAATGAGTTCATATAGAATTTTAATAATCAAAAGCTCACTTGTAATTCTGTGGAAGAATCTTCACTTGGAAGGTTGTCAATGAGAACATCAATATCTTTAGCTGTTCTTGTGATAAGCTTTGCAAATAAAGCAGCATAATCTAAAGAGAACACACAAAAAACTAATCATATAACAGTTTCAAAGATTCCAACATATGCAGTCAATGCCAGTACCTGAATGCAGCAGTTAATAATAATATTAACTTTTAATCAATTATGAATTTATGGTTGCATAATCATACTACCAATACCAGATACTGAATTTTATTTCATATCAGATTTTACAAATTAAAGTGTCTATCAATTTAAAGCTTTGCCCTAGGTATGAAAACTTCTCTATGGAAAAATCAAAAGATCGACTTGGCAAACTACAATGATAACTTGGCCACATTAAAGTTGCTGATTTACATTGACTTGTAACAATAATATAAATTAAATTTTAAAAAAATAATGCCGATAATACAATAATAGTTTTGTGAATACATATTACAAAATTGATTTGTTTTAATTTCTATCCTCAAAAATTAATTTTGAATAATAGTCACCAATATGTGGGTAGCAGTATCCATATTTTGAGAAAAAGAAATCTATTATAAGCACCTGTGTAGTACAAAACTATCTAGATACATATAGAAAACATCAGCATCTGTATTCTCATATTAGAATTAACTGTGATTATAAATATATTTTAAGTTACTGGTACTGGTAAATATAAATTTGTTATTTAAGAATACCTTCTTGAGGAGGTGGAGATGAAGGTTTGCACCCTGGCTTTTCAAATCCTGGAAATGGGCTACTAGGAGCACACTGCTGAAGTATTCCAATGCTGTTGTAGAAATGTTCAGTTTGCTGTAAAATGTAAAAAATTTGATTTATGTTGATACTAGTATGGAGCCATCCAGAAATGATGTCAAACATCTAAGAGAGGGAGTGAGTGAGTGTGAGAGTCAGCGAGTGAGTGAGAGTGTGTGTGTTGTTGCCGTTCTCTCCCCCCCCCCCATTTTTGTGATGATGGGGGGGTCCTTAATCAATGTGACGTGAAATGATAAGCAGAAAACAGACATTTTAACATTATTCTCTTCTACGAAGTCAGCGAGTGAGTGAGAGTGTGTGTGTTGTTGCCGTTCTCTCCCCCCCCCCCCCATTTTTGTGATGATGGGGGGGTCCTTAATCAATGTGACGTGAAATGATAAGCAGAAAATAGACATTTTAACATTATTCTCTTCTACGACAATCATAATTATTTTATTTTTAAGCTACAATCACTTAGAGAATCAGTACAGAGATGTGAGGTCCGAAAAATGACCTCTGATCAAGTTACAGGCCGCCACAGAGGAAAAGACAATGCGTGTAGTGATATTAACAGTCAATACAATATATGTCAAAGTGTGGAGACGGGAGTCATAGAATTAGGACTACCACGTGAAGTGGGATGGAACGAGAAAAAAATGGATGACCAGGAGGGGTTTGTGTTACCTTAGTAAATGCTCTAGGGCAGTGATTCTTAACATTTTTGCTGTACTGCAGTCACACTCCAGTTTAAACAATTCCCACCCCCAACCGTATAAATTATAATGTAATAAAATAAAATATGAAAATAATTAAATAATTTAGTTATCGTAGTTTTATTTTTTAATTAACTTTCTATAAACAAGGAAATTACCAATACAAGTAAAATTCAAACAAAATTTACCATAAAAATATTTGCTGCTGCTAATAGCTAATCAAAATGAATGAAAACTATTTTTTTAAAAAAGGTAGCAACAATTAGAAATGGCAGCAAACACGATTTTTACCCCTGGTTAAGAACCACTGTTCTAGAGAAATGTTTCTGACACAGGTCACAGACAGGGGCAGTAATTTGGTATCCATGGGAGGTAAATTTCAATTTAAGGCTCACTAGGCCTTACTTTACATCATTATTATATTTATTTTAGTAAACAACAATCATGTAGGAACATTTGAGGTTTGAAGTACCGGTAATCTATACATATGATACATTATTAGTGGGGAATCACAGGATTACCAAAACAGGATCAGTTAAGGCCAGATTGAACTGATCTACTTAAACTGGTTTTGAGTTAGTGGTAAGGCCGACGATGTGCTCCACTGTATATAAGTCACGGAGGTTCCCCCAGGTCCATTTCCGTCTAGTGGCATACTAAAAAGATTTCAATGTTTGTATTTACATAATGCAAGTTATTGTTTTCTTATTTTAAATTTTTTGTTTAAGACCCCTCCCCAAAGAATTTCTATGTTTCTTATTTTGGTATTTAAAGCGAGGGGAGGGTTTGGGGAGGGGGATTCCCCAATGTGACATCACTGTGCTTAGAGTGAGAAAAGTCTTGGCAAAACTCATATCGTTACCTCAAAATGTACCGGCTAGAGGTTCTAGAACTTAGAGCAAACTCAAACTCAAACCCAGAGAGGACCAAACTACTAGGGGTGTGCCGGACCCCGGTCCGGAATCCGGTTCCGCCGGATTTTGCACTATCCGGTGAAATCCGGTTCCGCCGGATTTACATGTATCCGGAACAACCGGATTCCGGAATATACCGGATTTCAGAATTTGCCAGATTTTGTGACTCACCGGATCATAATCTGAAATAAAAGTAATTCTCTTTCCCGAATTTCACACGATCACGATACATTAATCGATTGTTTCGAGCGTTGAGCTTGTTTAATGTTTAATATTCCGTACATACCAGAGGCTAGAGTCAGCACCGCTAATAGTGGCCAATAGTGTAGGGACTTTGATAAGAAAATTTAAACTTTTTGTAAAAATAAACCAATGGCATAGTTGAAAAGATGTAATTTTTTAAAGAATTATAACACCAAAATCATATTTTTAGCTGTTGTAGTTTTAAAGTTATGAATTTTTAAAGTACGACTTGGTTTGTCATTTTTTAACATGGACTGCATCTCCACATTCTGTGATCTCATTCCACCAATCCCGTCATGCGCAATGACTATATAGTTTATATAAGGCAACGCATTCCCTGCCTTATCACTAAAATACTGTTTAGACTTAGTTTAAACTTTCAACTTTGGCACATGAATAATTAATTAAAGCTTTCCCTGACCAATGGTTTAATAGTTTTTGCACACGGCAAACTCTTATGAATGAAACTCTGAGGTAGTACTACGATACAGTTATGCAAGTGGCTGTGAATGGTTGCCAATGACAACGTGTTGCACACGGTAAATTCTGATCATTTATAATATGGATTCTACCGGGTTGTTAAAGCTCAAATTAAAACATTCCAGTTTAAATGTCTTTAAATGCATTCTGAAACACAAGTTATCAATTATTTTGATGTAAATAGTGATAATAAATTAATATTTCCTAAGTATCGTCAACTTCCGCCATTAAAAAGGGGGGCGTGGCCAACCCCATGGCGAAATTAGGTTGAGCGAGCTGCATAACCTGCTGCGAACGCGTAGAAACATGGCGTCTCTCGTAAGACACTTATCCAAATGGAACGGAACTCAAATATATATCGAAAGTACTAATTTAATAATAAATAGACACACACATCGGAAAATTAAAAACTCGGATTTTTTGGCGCCGATTGCGAATTCCCATACACAAAAAGTAGTAGTCCACCTTGACTTACCGAAGTATCTACCAATAGTACCAAAATCCGGAATCCGGGAGAAACCGGAATCCGGATCCGGCGGATTTCGCATAAGAAAATCCGGATCCGGATCCGGTTGGAAAAAACGGATCCGGCACACCCCTACAAACTACATGTCAGATTCAGATGTCTACCAGGCCTGTAAGTTATTCACACTGTCCTACAGAAGTGTATAACAGTAAGTTACAGTCAGAGTAAGTTATAATACTTTATACACTTTAAAACAGTAACAGTGATTGAATGCAAGTAGGCATAAAGTTAAAGCATGGCCATGGACCCAAGGCCAATAGTGAATCATAGGATACGTAGGCAGAGTCTGAGACCTGAGAGTGGGTTACGTAGGCCAGAGTCTGAGAGTGGGTTACGTGACATAAGTCATAAGCCAAACTATTTCATTGATAATCATTAGGCATTAGGCCCAGGCAGCCAAATAATCATACATTAAATTTAAACTTGAATGCCTTGACTTTGAAAATGATTGATTGTTCAAATTCAAAGTTTAAACAACTTCACAAAAACAAGACGAGGCTTTCTTAGTAAACTTAGACTTTTTTCTTAAAGTTTCAAGTCAAAAACTTTTAAGTCTACCAACTTCAAAGTGAAAATAAAAATCAATAATTTCAATAATTGACAAAAAAGTTGGCTGATAGTTAAAAAATATACTTTAACATTAACTGTATACCAATAGCATAAGGAAGATTGCAAATTTTTACTTGCGTGACTGCATCTTGGAGTTGAGTGAGTCTATCAGCCATGTTCGGCTTTGTTCAGGTTAAGGTCACCCTATAAACCGAAATACCAAAGTTACATTATTTATTTATTTAAAGACACTTATGTGACTTCATTTTTTTTTTCAGCATGCTTTTCAATGTGATCATAAAATGTACACTGGTAGCTAAATTAGGGAAAAGACTATCAGAGTATTAATTGAAATATATTTTGTTAACAATCGTTTAGATCTACTTATTATTGTATTATAATACTTTTTTTCTGTCTCATTTTATAAACATGTTCACCGAAATCTATTCTTGATCAAATTACTAAAAAGTAAGTTAAGTAAGAAAAGAAATCATGATCTATTATTATATTATTTAATTAAAATTCAGATGATTTCGAACAATTTTGGTATAATTTTATCGTATCATTATTTAAATTTTCACTGCAGAAATGTATCAAGAGATAAACGTTAATTCAGGGAGTAAAGCATAATTACCGAAATTGAAATCAAATATTATTTTAAAATATATATTATGTAAAAGAATTCAACAACCCCTCAAAACCAAATTTTCGTAAAAATCCTTTGTATGCATTTGTATTATTATATTTTATAATAATATTCTAATGATCCGCCTGCTTTTAAACCACAGTTTTATTTCAGTGTTCACCACTTCAGAAAAACAAAATAAAATAATGCGCATCATACACACTTCTAATGTTGTTGTTTTTGTTTTTAAGAATCTAATTTAGCGCAGTTATCGGGAATTTTCCCCTTGAAAAACAGGAAAATAACTGATGTTGTGGGGTTTGGCTGTGGGGCTGAAAATTTTATAGAATGTGTTGTCATGAGTGTTGTCAATAGACAAACGAGTCTATGTCTCTATGCGCCAAGTTTCAGCTAAGGAAATATAATGGGTTTAAAATTTTGAAAACCCTAAAAACATAGTTTTTCGTATCAATCCTTTATAAAATGTAATATCGAGCAATCGGGGTGGAGCTGAAATTTTGATAAAACATGCATACAAGTAACGCACTTTATAAGAATCTAAATTAGTGCTCCCACACCCAAGGCTCGCAACCGCACATATTTTTCTTCTTCTATATATTAAGTTTAAGGACCAACGATCAATAAATTGATCATTATGGCTCCTATGCATGTAGAGGGGATTTGCAAAGTTTATGTGCCTGGTGTTGTAGGGGATATTTCACTGGTTGCAAGGGCTACACTACTCACTTTTAGCTTAGCCCTTGACCAGTGATAGTAACATTTTAGTATTAAATCAGTTTGTTGATAATTTGTTGTACTAATAATGCCATATTCGAAGAAATATTACTCATCACAAAAACATGTAAACGAATCCCATCCAACCGGATATATTATAATGACCCACTCGCTTTTACACAGCATATTTATTTCAGCAACTATTTCAGAAAAGCAAAAGAAAGTATTACGCACCAAACGCACGTGCGATATATTTTTTGAAAAGAATCTAGTTTAGTGCTGTTATTGGGAATTTTCCTTCATGCCCCCCCCCCTTTTTTGAAAAAACAGGAAAAACTGATTTCTGGGGGTTTAGGTTGAAAAGTTAAGATGTCATTATGTGTTGTCATCGCCAACGAGTTTATGTGCCAAATTTCAGCTCGATAGCTTGACAGGAAGTCGGTCAATTAGCCGTCCGAAGATTTTGCCACCCAGCCAGCCACAAACAAAAAAACAATAAAAGATTTAAAAAGAAGTCAAACTCTGCAAATCTTATAGTAAGTCACAAACACAATAGATATAATAAAACGATGCAAACCAATCAAAGTAATTGCTGATTTTTTAAAGGGTGTCCCAGAAAAAGTGAAAACATCTTGTAGCGAGGTGTTATTATAATTGAATTAATATAATATAATGTTTCGTCATTGACAGATTGACAGTTGCATGAAAATAATTAGGCTAATCAGAAAACATGTTGAATCTGCAACCCCCCCCCCCACCCCCCCCCCAAAAAAATAAATAAAAAATAAAACTCTCCCTGATTCGCATTGGTGCCACGTTTATGCGTCTGACAATAAAGCGAAGTTATCACATATTTTGGGCCACCCTGTAGACTGACCATACACTCTTTGGCTAGGCGGTCACGGGAGCACCGGTCCTGTTCCCCGCCATCGTTACAGTTAGTGTGAGAGGCAAGCAAAAGCTGCACCTGTGGCAAGTCTGAATTGATGCGCCAACTTGCCCTGACATTTTTATTTGCTACACAAATTGTTAAACTGAGGTTCATAAAACACAAGATTCACATAAACTATGCAGTTATGAATTGCGACAATATTTATGTGCTTGCATTCAAGGATGAGTTTGAAGGGGTTTAATCGATTTTATTGTTATAAATTATAACTATCAAAAGTATAACCTATCAGAAGTGACAGATGTGTTTTCTTACGAATTTGCATGACACTATTGTATTATAAAAACAATGTATTTATATTTTTAAATATTTATTTTCTGCATTCAGATTTCAATTTAACTATAAACAAACTCTTGTTTATATAGATCTAACTCAAATAAGTTGACTTTACAATACAAAGGAAAAAATACAAATAATTCCTTATCTGTACGGAAAGTTTCATGACAGCTTAAATCCTGGTGCATTTACAATGTCACCAATCACCATGCCGTTTGCTGGTGGATTTACAAATTACCTAAGTTGTCTGCGTATATTTAATAAAAATTGTAAGACTAAATCTATATGTAGGAACTTTATCACTTCAAATTTAAAAGTAACAGATGCTGACAATTTACTGCTTTGACCTTAATAAATCAGACAGCTGTTGCATGAGAGATTCTGTCCTCAATTTGTATACCACAACAGCAAGGGATATGAGTTAAGACATTGTTTTCAGGGGTCTGTAGGCAATGGGTAAAAATGAATAACAACTGAAACAACTTTTAAAATAACTTAAAGAATTTTAATGTGAATAAATAAACAGGCTACAGCAGCAAAGTCCTCAAGCAAGATGACAAATTTATTTCAATAATACAAAGGGTAAACATATTCTGTTCATTAAAATAGTTTCATAGAAAATACCAACAAAAACAATGAAAATAACAGGTAGCTAAAAGATTTGTGCAAAAAATCATTTATTTTTTTCACATCAGGTACAACATTCATTAGAGTTTTCATGCATGGGTGCTGCAGGGGAAGTTATATTATAAGGAGGTATTTGCATTAAATAAAGTGATGTGTGTCAACAAGTGGACCACATCCTTTGATACCTCTCCATTATTGAATGCCTTAAAAATCAACCACAACACTGGCTCTCATCAATTTTAAAGGGTTGGAAATTGTTGGACAAAGTTTAATAAAAATGCAGAGCAAAAGGAATAAAGATATTCTACAATCAAAGTTAAAGATGAAGTTTGTGGAATTAAAATACAATGTAAAAACATAACATTAAAAAAAAAATTATTTTGATAACAACGTTATATAACTACGAGCCGACTTTATAAAGTCAATTTCAATGAATGAAAATACTAGAATTATTTATCATACAAATTATGAAGTCACAAAATGATTTAAGATAAATGTCAGTCAACAGGAGATAAAATAATTTTTCATTCTGTACCAGCACATTCCACCATATAGATCTCTCATAATAAGTATAAGACTCTAATCCAATGCACTAGATTGTTTCATCTAAATTGCTAATGTTAATTAGCTTTTGAGCATCTTATCTATATCTTCACTATTGTTACATTAAAGGGTATTTAATCAAGCATTAAAATTAACAATGATAATAGGCGAATAACAATTAAATACTGGGACTAATCGCCATCACGGAGTTTTTATTTTTATGTAATTCAAACCTGGATGCATTCATCCATCTTAATCTTATTATATTTTCTTTTCTTTTTTTTGTGTGCATTATTAAGACTCAAACTGGTCTTTACAAGATTTTACAAAATCAGTTGAAATTCTATTGAAAGCAAACAATTTTTTTTATTAAGTCTTGTAAAATGAAAATAAAATCCGTGGGTATTTTTAATGTTTGAAAATTAAAGACTTTTTATGTTCTGCTCAATTTTATGCTCTCAAGTGCACCACTATACTGTTGCATCCAAAAAATAACAAATACAAACTTAAAATAATTTTTCTTCAAAATAAATACTTTTCATGACATGTGTAGCAGAAACAAAAGCAGCCAGTGCTCAACGGTGCATATTAAAATTGTATGAAAACTTAAAGATGCAAAATATATTAAATCCCAAGATTTAATAAACTTTCAGATTACTGCATTCAATTTGTAACTTTTTAATAAGTTAATCAGCAACATACAAATCATTCTAGCTTTAACACTACACACCACAAAATGCAAGAAAATTTCCATCAATAAAAGTTCTCGCTCCAAAAAATAATAATATTCTCACTCAAAAAAACAACAACCAAACTATCACTCAATAACAACATACATGTTTTACTTTTTTGACCATTCATTAATTTAAAATAACTATGCATACATTTTTTAAAACTTGCGAAATACAAAAGTAAAGTCAAAACCTTGTGATAAAAAATAACAAAACTTTGAGGAGGTTGTTTTAAATATTAAAATAGTTTGACCATTTGACTTAGGTAAAGCCAACTGTATATAAAAAAAAAGAAGAAAAAAGAAACCAAATCTATAAATATGCATACCTATAAATCATTAACATTTCTTGGGAATGTAAAGCAAATAATTATCTATTTAAAATCAACCATTTAATTTAAGATGATGCACATGCAAAATAGACATATAATAATAATCTAAATAACAATGGAAGGCTACTAGAAATAATTTTGATTCATAATTGCAATCAAAGCTATCAAATGTATAAAAATTGTTTTAAATTAAAAATAAAATAATTTAAAAATTGTGTCATAAATGAATGTAATTACTAGTTTATTTTCTAAATTCGATCTAAATTAATTGCACATTATAAATGGAATAAGGACTTTATGGTAAATGACCTAACTAATTTTTTATTTTATCAATTCAATAGTTTCTAAAAAGTCAGTAATACTTGAAAAATAGGTTGCAACAATTCTTTAACCTATTTTGGCAACAAAATTCAGAATTAACCCTGGATCTGACTATTAATTCAGTACATTTTTGCATTTTAAAACATTTAAAAAAGCAAAACATTAAAGAATCTCTACAGAACTATAATATCACATTCTTTAATATAAATGAGTAGAGGATTATTAATTTCTCCGCAACAAGCAAATGATGGTACTGTGAAAATTTCAAAGGAAATTCGAAAGCTCAGCCTTAAATCATAACTTGTTCCACTTTGAAATTTATATTCATGACCTGCATTTGTAGACTACCAAAAATAAATTAAGATCATAGATCATAATAATTATAAGAGATCAATAGTGAAATGTTTTTAAATGATAGGAATTAACTTTGTCTTAACACTCTGTACAAATTTCATGCTTTTAAACAAGTTCAGAATTAGCCAATTTTCCAAATAGATATTAAAATTTCATTTTAAATATAACACAGTACTAAGCTTTCATGTGGATTAACAACTTGGTAGAAGAAGAAGAAACTTAGTTCACCAAAAGCATTGATTTTAAGCAAAAATATAAAGAAAGCTAAATGAACATGAACAGAATGAAGCTTGCCCGACTGATTTAGGAATGCTTCACCTTAACGCAGCATTAATTCATATACACTTTGCCATTATAGTTAAAAAGTGTTATTTCTTAAGCAAAGAAAATGGAACCCCAATGAATTGTCCATACCAGTAGAACACTTGGATTAACATGTCATCATTTATTTGGCAGCAAACCAATGTGCACAATAAATTCATGATGAGAGAATCTCACAATCAAAGGTTCATTTTAGATTTTTTTTTAATTTAAAAAAAAAAAAAATTTAAAAAAAAGTAGTGCAAATAAACTGCTTTCTCACCATCACAATATTATATTAAAATAGTGTAATAAGAACAATACTATATTTATATTAACCATAGTAATCCATATTGTTGTTTTTAATGAATAAATCTGTATGATGCTTGCCCATAACTTCAAAGAAAAAAATAATATGACTGCTAGGCAATTCAGAGTAATGTGGTAACAGCAATAAACTAGTATCATAATTAACCTTATAATTTACATAAGCAGTATAACAATGGAATAAATGCTCCAATAGCTACAAACACTGGTAACAACATGGCACTTGTATCATCCGCTGCATAGGGATCTTTCATCTTTGGACCTGAAGGTTTCCGAGACTTTTGAGGTTTTAGACTTTGAGATTCTTCATCATCTTCTTCTTCTTCTTCTGGGACATCAGTTCCAGGCATACTGGGAAGCTTGGGGATATCTTTGTTAAAGGAAGATATTTTGAAAAAACGACAACTCACAACTGCTATGCATAAAATAAATTTCGGGTACTTAAGTCTAAATTCCAAGTAATTATTTACTACATTGTTTTAAGAAATTTAAATTTAACTCGCCAAGCAAAAACATGGTGCTCATTGAGAGTGCCCTCAACTAATTAAAAAAACAACAATATGGCTAGATTGACCAATGTTATTTACCAGATAATTTTCTATCTGACTGACTGACTGCATCCGGGTTCGGTTCCCAGGCATTGGAGTTAGTGGGACACATAATTCAATTGTTTCAAATAATACTTTAATTGATGATTAAATTTAATGTTCCTAATTATTACTATATTTTAATTAGTTTAAAAAATCAAGCAAAAGTTTAAAAAAATGTGCACCACATTTATTAGGCACACATTTTGTTGCATCATGTATTTCGGTGAACTAAAAATTTACATCTTTTCAACTCCTAAAATAACTAGGGAGCAATATGCAATTTTTCCCCACTGTTATATGAAATTTCAAATGTCTATAATCCAGAACCTTCGACATTATAAGAAAAATATTTTTTGACTTCAAATTTTGTAGATACGGTAGTTCTGTAAATTTATTGGATAATTGGAGTGTTGCATTAGCAAGATTTTAGAGGGACAGAAACAAAGGAAACACTAATATATGTAACAATAACTATATATGGGGATAAAAGACATAAATAAAAAAATTCACTTTTACTGAGAAACAAAGTTAAATTATATAATTAAATTATGCCACTTACCGTCTACTGTTCCTTTAATAACATAAATGGCATTCACCTTTGGATTGTCCATATCACCCTACCAAAAAATAAAATGATACACACAATAAATGATTTTAGATCAAATTAAAAAAATAAGTCAATAACTAAGCATTACACTTGAAGTTTAACAATGTTAACAGAACATACCTTAATAAATTCAATGGAAATTTTGTTTCCATCAACTTGTGATGTTTCTCCATTCACTCTGAGCTTTCCCCCTCTTATTGAGAATGGAATGATTTCATCATGTGCAACACCTCGACCAACTCTAGCAAATATGTCAAGCTCACTGACTACTGTGTGCTCTCCATTTAAAACCACATCAAAAACCTGAGGATGTTAATGTACATAAATTAGATTGAGATATACAAAGTAACCACTTCTACTTCTAGAAACACTTCATAATTCATTCCTGAAAATGTAATAAAATTAAAATCAAAAGTTGGGATTTTAAAAGGGTTTTTTTTTTTTTTTATTTAAAAAAACAATTATCAGGAAGATTTTATTGACCTTCATAGTTTTCTTAGAATGCCATATTCTTATATAGTAGTTACCCTTAACATATGCTTATATATAATACAAGCTTGCTGGCAGCAATCAGAAAAAAAAGGTAAAAGTTTATTTAATTTATTTAAATAATTTGCCTAATTGGGGTTTGACCTTAATTTAGACTGGATACCTCTCAAAAAATAATTAATTATTAAAATTATTGAATAAAATAAAATATATTAAATTATTAAAATGCAATTAGCAGCAGGGCCAGCAATGTCTTCCATGATTTATAAGTCGTGAGGGTTTCCCAGGTCAACAACTGGCCATAGTTTTGTATTCAAAAGATTTCAATCTTTAGCTCTGTATTTATTTGATAAATTATTTTTTTATTTTTGTATTGAAGGTGGTTGGAGGGGTTTGAGTAAGGGTCTCCCCACCCCAGAAATTATTTAGTGTCTTATTTTTGTATTGAAGGTAGGAGAAGGGGTTGGGTGTCTCTCCTCTCGGAAAATTATTTTGAAATGTCCGGTGAAATAACGAAAGTATACTGATAGTACTTTGTTTTCAACCACTCGAAAGACAGCACTTTTAACAATGTGCATGTCTTTATTCCAGTGTTCCTCTTGGGTTATCAGCAAGAATGAGTTTCTTTTTTAAGAATTTCTTTTGAACCTAGTAAGTTGAATATTAATAAAAAAACAAATGGAAATTTTCATTTTAATATATTTCATATTAACAGTATCGGTGGTTGGATTTAGTTTATGATACAAATAATGCTCATTGAAGAATGGTAAAGTTATCATTTACAGTTGTCCCTCGTTTATCGCATTTAATCAATTCCAGACACTACCGAGATAATTGTAAATTTCCGCGAAGTAGGAATCATTATTTTATAAATCGAATATATTTGTAGTTAAAGCATAGAAAACCTGTCCACAACCCTATAAATTCCCAGGTATGTTTTTTTTTACATTATTGGACTCTGGGAGTGTTCGAATACATAGGCTGTATGTTTACACGTACAGTAATTTTAATTGTAATACAGGCGTGTATAATTAACCCAGACAAAGAGTGTGCTGTATCATTTTCACTACAGTATCTTGATCAAGTTTTTGTACGACTGTACATCATTCAGGTCCAACTGTTGGCCCTGTCACCCTAAGTCCAGTGTTAGGATTCCCCAAAGTGACATCACAGCGCTTAGTGTGAGACAACTCTTGGCAAAGTCCATGCTAACTACACTTTTACCCATCACTGATCACATTCTGTGAATCACAGTAGAATAGTGCTGGGAATGTAGTGGTAGTAGTAGTAGGCAGACCTCTAAAAGATAAGTACATACAACTAACATGCCTATATTCATTGTAGGCCCTACAGGAGTCAAAATAATTTATTTAGGCCTATTAATTGTATATTGGTAAAAGTGCAGATCAGGTGCGTATATTATTTCTTAACGCATTTCGTATTTTCTTATCTAAACTTATGTGTATTCTTTATTAATTAAATACCAGCAGTTATAGTTAACTAATACTGAATTATACATTGCCTCTTTTCTTATTATTTGATTTCTAAAGAGTCTTTAAACATCCTCCAACCAAAGTTACATAGCCCCATTTGTTTTGTATTTTATTTTCACCCTATGGCCAGATTTTGAACCACCTATAAGTTAGTATGCTAAACAAATTTTCAAACTGTAGGCATGTTCATAAAAAAGAATGAAATACTAGATTTTTCATTACGCACGAGCCCCCCAGACGTATGTCAATATGAGAGTTTCCTAAAACTACTGGAATCTGGATCTCAACGGAAATGGGATAACACTGGAACCGGTATCCCACCGGGATCGGGAACTCACTGGATCGGGATCTCACCGGGATCAGGATCTCACTGGGATCAAGATCCTATCGGGATTGGAATATCACCGGAAACAGATCCCTCCGGGATCGGGATTCACCGGGCTTGAGATCCTACCGGGATCTCACCGGATTGGGATCTCATTTGGATTGGGATACCACCAGAAACGGGATCTCACCAGGATCTGGATCATACCGGGTTTCGGATCCCACCATGACCGGGATCAGGATCCGGGATCCCACCATGACCAGGATTCTATCGGAAACGGAATGCCGTCCGGATCGGGATCCCATCATCGGAAAACAGGAAAAACAAAAGGTTTACATAAGTTGTTTTAAGTGTTTTTATAAGAGACAAATGATTTTATTTTTTTTAACACGGTGATGTTTTTGTCGACATTTTGCTTAATACTTAATAGCAATGTGAATTAAAAGGACATGACATAGCCGATGTTTTTATCTGAATGCAATCTCGGGCAACTCGGGTTATATTTGACAGTAAAGTTATAAAATAAATACAACATTTATTTTAACAAAGATACATCCAATTGAGCGACTTTTATAACTTGTCTTTAAAGACAGAAGAGTTATCCTTGATTTAACCACAATCATTCACAATGGCTCCATAAAAGACAAATGATTCATGAAAATGTACTTTTTTATCTCGCAAAATTTGTTAAGTTGTTGTTGTATTCCAATAAAAAGATGGTACCGGTATTTTACTTTTAAAATACTTATAATAAAGGATTCATTAACTTAAGTTTACACGCAAAAATAATAAATTCAAACAGATATAATATAGGCAGCTGAACTGCACTTTTACCTTGTATGTTTATACCAACTTAAGCTTTTAAAAAATCAGTAGTGTCAGTAGCCTAAATTAAAATTTTAATTTCTAAAAAATTAAATTTAAATTGGAGTGATTAGGACTGAGGAGTGAATCACCTTTTGATTTTGAGCTGCAAACCAAACTTCACTAAATTTTAAAACAATGACATAGTCTCCATCTCGATACACTGGTATATCGTAACCAAACGTATTGATATGATATCTTTCAGTCTGGTAAAGGATTTGATCTTGTGGGACAACTCTCTGTATCATTAGGCTTTTTCCAAAGTCTGACCGGTGCCCAATATCTAACGGATCTGCTTGATAATGAATACCATGGACATCGGTATGCTCGTCACCTCCGCAATTTACTGCCCATGCCACTTCTAAAGTGTGGACTGTTTGCATTAGAAGGCTAATAACAATAAATGCTGTAAAAAGCACATATTTCTTATGTGAATATTTTCTTAAATATCGAAATGCAAAGCCGGTAAACGTAATCCACATCATCTTCATGCTTCGTAGCAGGATAGTAATCGGTATCGAAAGATGAATTAAATTGCTTTTGTCGTATTTATCGTTCTCAAACTAATTTCGGAGGCAGTTTATAAATGATTTACATTTGATTTATTCTAAGATAAAAAGGATGTAAATTATAAATTTAACTATAATTGCTTATAACACCATTTAAATCTCAAATTATAATGCGAAATGTAAAAACTCATATAACTTAGATATACTCATATAGGCAACTACTCAAAATAAACCCAATATCGCCCAAGATATGGATACGTGTTTTGATGGCGGAAGATCCCATTACGCATGCGTATTATAAAAATTGAGCTACGGTTACACTGTTATACCTTTCACACTTAAACACCAAAATAAAGATTAATCTGATGATCATTTTGGTTATGTTATATTGTTGGATCAGATCATTTGCTTTTTCGGTTACTTTATATTGTTTGGCGCTTGCATTCCTATAATAAAGCGATTAAAGTGGCAGTCGAAACCAGAAACAGAATAATTAACAATTTAATTACTTAAATATATCTAGTTAGTCTGCCGGCAAGTTCACCACACACACACCAATTCAATTACCATAATTTCATAACTAACACTAACACGTCAATTGAATGATGAATGATTTGGTTAAACAGTCATAATTAACACTACTACCTCTATATGTGGTGCCTAGTGAATTGGGGAAATGAAAATCCAACTCAAAGATACTTTACAACATTCTTATTATGGTTTTCTTTCAGTCTATAACGTTTATTAGCAATAATATAAAGTAGCCTACACAAAAATTTTAATTCACAAATAAAATTTAAAAGAGTAAAGAAAATGTCATCAAAATGCTACGGAAATGATAGCAAAGGCAAAAGTTTATGCAATAGTCGCTACTAGGTCGATCTCAGAAACAATCAGACACTGGAGTCCTTTAAAACCGATTTAAAGACACTTTATTTCGCAAACACCTTCTGGGATGATTGTCTACCATATTTTCCATTTAATGCATATTAGCTGTGTTGCTTATGGTTGAAATGGCTAGAAAGACTTTGACATTGTATGCTTGTAATTAGTTTTTGTAGTGTTGCGTTTGTTTTAAATGTGGTAAATTATAGATTTTTTACTCTTGTACCGCGCTTCGAGCCTTTGGGGATGAAGCGTGTTTTTGAAATACACTTTATTATTATTAGGTGTATATCAAACTTGGCAAATTGTAATTAATAATTCATTCTCAAACGTTTTCCAATCCTAAACCAGCCCCCCCCCCCCACTTCCCACGTTTTTAATCTATTGTTTGCATTAACTTTGCACAATACTCTACTGAAGATATTTGCACAATGAAAAGTAAAAGTTTAACATAGGCATATATTACGTTATTTAATAGAAATATAAGCTTTTAATTGTAAAAATTTCACAAAACTGATTAAGGATCATTCGCAAATTACGTCACACAAAAAAAATGATCTTTTAAGACCCCCCTCCCCTTTTCACGAAGTGTCACAAATTATTTACCCCCCCCCCTCTTTTAGTGGCACGTCACACCTAAAAAAATCAAAACATAGGCTACATAAAATATTCATCACTAAACTAAGATTTTATTTCATTTTTTAAATTGTTCCCACATGGATAAAGATGTTGTTAGAAAAATGTGACGTGAAACAACGAAGTCATCCACAAGCCGAATGTAAAATGGCCACAACAGTTTTTGCATCATTTTTCGATAGGCCTATACACAAAAGATGTGCAAGATTGAGCTTCACGGTACTTAAAATACCTGAGGCAATTTCAACCTCAAATTAATGTTTTTAAAATTAATTGAATAAAGATTTTTTTTTTAAATTTGGAAAATTTTATATTTTATTTTTAAAAATTCAAATTTTTAAATTGTTTCTCGACCCCCCCCCCCACCCCACCCCCTGAGCGTGACGTAATTTGCGAACAAACCCTTAAATTCATCAAGCGATTCCTCAGCTCTTGTTAAATATCTAACATCTTCACTGGTCGGTTATTCTTCAGGGATTTGTGTTCTTGGTAGATTGATAGAGGTTTGTCAATGCTTGGTATTAATTTTCGTAGCAGAAACTTAATTCACTATGTCCATGTTTATGCTATTTCTTGGCTTTGAGCAATGTTGGATGGCTACACTAAAACCACTTTCAGACCAAAACAGATTCTTTGTCACTTTTCATTTTGCACGATAGGGATCCAAGTTTTAGTCTGGTATGCAACTTAAACCGTTAACTTTAGCTGACGCTCAATATTAATTTAGTTCAATTTGCCCTGCTAAACTTTACCTACTGCACGTGCCTAAATCATGAAGTTGATTTATCACCCAATCTGTGCTTTCCATCAAAAGAAAATCCTAAATTCGCTCAGAATATTCAGCGTATCAAAATGGCCGTAAAGATACTTGCATCTCAATTTTCTCTCCATAGGTATAGTTCTCACAGACCATGACATTAGTATAAGTCGAGACGGCTAATCTAGCACTTGAGTAAAGTTTAGTGTTATACCAATTTCATTTTCATTGCATTTAAGAAAATATTTTTGAATAAATAATCAAAGTCGTGTTTGATGTCTTTGAGCTCATAACCAAGAGAAGCATTTGTGTCTTCAAAAATATTCTCAACATTGTCAAATTAATTGTAAAAAATTAATTATTTTCTTGCCTTAGTATTAATGGCAACGAACTTCATTATGAAGTAGTGAATTCTGAATATCTTCTTTGTTGTCAATAGCGGCCTAACATTCGAAGCGAATGGTTAAAATTAAATTCCCCGCAACAATGACGATGTTCAAGGGTTGTTTAGGGTTGCATTAAGGGTTGTTTAATTTTTTTTTTTTGTGCGCTTCTTTTCCTTCTTGTTATAGGATAGTACCTGAGACACTGTATGTTTAAGCCAGGGGTCTCATACTCAAATTATCTGGGGGCCGCAGGAGGTAGAGTCTGAGTGAGACTGGGCCGCATCAAGTATTCCACAAAAAATGATTACAAATTCAATGAAGTACCACTGTTACAAATTGCTCAACCTTTATTAATAACAAATAAAAACATTAAGGGTTCTCAAGAACTCGACTTCACTTACGTCTCACTACTCCTTGTTATCAGAGACCTGGCAGTGCTTCTTTTTACACAGCTGAGCAACATTTGGCTTGAGTGAGGAAGCAACTGACACCCTCAGTATAGCTTGAAGATGCTCATCAGTATGTTTTGCCCTGAACTTTGACTTGTTAAAGTTCATAATGGAAAAGAGGTTTTCACACAGATAGGTACTCCCAAAAAGGCACATGATCCGCTTGAACAACCTGGAAATCTCTGGAAAGGTGGCCGGCAATGTTTTCATAGATTTTCCATGCTTGTCCGTTTTTCCATTCACCTTCCTGAACTTGGACTGAAGATTAATCAGCTCCATTTGAAGCGAAAAGTGGTGGGGTGGGGGGTGAGACATCATCCACATTGAAGGAGAAAGGGTAAAAAAAAATGTGAAAAGTGGCTATGTGTGTGTTTTTAAGCCTGCATATATGATACATGTGATTAATTTTCCTGTAGCTTTGGAATGGCATAATTATACTTAATACTGAATGGTGAGCCCGAGTCCATGAGTAGTTTGCATGTTGGGAAATGGCAGAGGTTTCTCTGGGAACCGTAACACATGTTTTGTGCAGAATGCCCTGACATTGTCATATGCAAACCCGACAAGCTGCCCCTGGTCTTGCAAACTCTTGTTGAGTACATTTTTTTGTATACATTCAGCTCCTGTATAATGTCAACAAGAAGAGCCAAGTCCAATGGACATTTGGGATTCCTTAGTACAGGAACAACCACCCAATCCTTCTCCATGAAGGTTTTGAAGGCTAACACATGTTCAAACAGTAGGCAGGTGCAGACAATATTTATGTAAAATTGATGCGAAGGAATATGGTATTGTAAGGAGAATGATTTTTTTTTATCGTAGAAAAGGCCTTTTTGACCATACCTATTTTGAAAGTGACCAAGCTGACAGGCTCGGAATTTCGCTCACTTATAAACAATATATAGCGGTAATTTTAATTGGGATTTTTTTTTATACTGTGTCAGATTGCTACGATTTACACAATTATGGTTGTGCAGCTGTGCATTACTCACAAACTGAATTTTTAAACTTTTCTCAAAACTGTACTTTGGCAATAGTTGTCTCATAAAATGCTATAAAATAATAACTTTTAGTCCTATTTCAAAACGGGTTTTACCATTATAATCAACGTCTAAATCCACACAAACATAATAAAAATCAGAATTAGACTAGTCAGTGAGATTTGACTGAAACCGCCGCGGAAGGTCACATTATAGATATGAAAATGGGGAAAACGCACCGGCCGCATTAACACTAAACTTTGTTGTCAGGTATCGGGCCGCAAAGTATCGTCTTGCGGGCCGCGAGTTTGAGACCACTGATTTAAGCCATGTGACGGAATAGTAGAGTGATAAGATATGTAGACGCTTGAAAATAAAAGATAGGACAAGCAAAGTAACATTTCGGATAGATGCTTTCGTCAGCACCTATCGAAAAACGTTAATTTGACTGTCCTGTTTCTACATATCGTCTTCTTCTATTTACTTCTTCTTATAGAAGAACAATTATCAATTATTTTTAATTTTATTTTAAAACAGAGTTTTGCCTTAATCAATTCTATACACTAGTATCCGGTGGTAGACATTTCTAGTGGCACGCTATTCTGGCGGCACAACTTTCTGGTGGCAACTTACTCTGATGCACCCTGGTCTTATAGCACCAACTTCTGATGACTCGCGTTTCTCGCCCCCCCCCCCCGCTCCTGTGGCAACCTGCTCCCATGACACTTATTTCTGTTTACACCCTTTTCTTATGGCACCCATTTATGGTAGTATCTGGTTCTTAAATCTTGTATCGGCCGGCTCTGATGTCACTCAATTCTGGTGAAACTCTGCTCTCTAGTGACACCTGGCATTGTGCTTTTGAGGCAATCTGCTCTGATAGCACCCATTACTGGGGGCACGTGGTTCTGCTGTGGCACCCTACCTTGGTTCACGCCGCTTTTCTTGTATTTAACTACGATCAAGTACA